TCTCCCCAAAACCCCAAAACCCCAAAACCCCTCAAAGTCATAATTATCTTGAAATGTTTCTGAATTCCTTTAGCTCTTTCCCAGTTTTTCAAAATGTAATAGTTTAGTGTCAGCTACTACTAACATTGCTATTCGGAAGATATGATCGATCAATAGATCATTGGTTTCATTACTAACTCAGAAGCTTGAAGACTTGATAACCAAGACTGAGCCATTAGGTCTTGGGAGAATCCAGTAATTAATCATCCTGCGTTTGGTATTTTCTCTACTTTAGTACCCATATAAACTTCAAGGAATTGTGACAGCTGTATGGTGAGGAACCAGTCTTTATTGGGATGCTAAATAATCTGGGCAGACAAAACTTTAGCTTTGTCCTCAATGCACTTTATTTTTTTGTAACCAGATTTGACCACCATTAAAATTCTCAGCCAGTGATCAGTTGTTTTATTAGTCTATTTTTGCACATCAGGTTTTGCACAAATATCTCCAAGTTTGTTAACCACGCATGTATTGGCTTACTAACTGTAGTAAAGCCACTCTATAGCTGCATTTAAAAGATTGCTACTTGTTTTGGAACAGTCAATTGTAAAATGGAGTAACTTGCATAAATTATTTTGGGTTGTCATTATTTACTGCCATTTTGGCAGTTTGTTGGTAGTAAACTTTTGGTCAGATTTTAATTCAAAAGTGGCATAATTTATTCTGAGTTTGAGTACTGGAAATTGAATATTGACCTACTACCGGGGTATCTCACCCAGAATGGATCATTAAATGAGGGCTATAACGCTTCTTAAGACTTTCGGAACTATTTATGATTGTTCATGTCTACATTTCCAGCCTAAAATTGTGAATAATTCATTAACCCCACACTAGAGTAAATTAGTTTAGCTCTTTTGAAGTTACTCACACTTCTAAATATTTTGAGTTTATGCCCTTCCATTTCAGACTGAATTTTGCAGCTTTGGGTATGTGGGATGATCATTCGTGATAAATTAGAGAAGCTATGTGAAATAGCACCCTCAAGCGAGTTTAAGCGAAGATTTATTTCACTGAAAATTAATAACTTCTTTTTAAAAATTTACTAATACTTATTTAGAGATGAAACTGAGTTAATTCTTGGGCTAATTCCGAAGAATTTTATATCCACCTGGATTCAGCACTGCATATCTAGCCAAGCTGGTAGCCTAATCAGGATGCTCTACACCTAGAGTCTTGGAGAATAGAGATGTTAGTACAATAACTTACTTTTTGTTATGTTGCTCACTTCTTTTGTGTTGATAAAAAGTAAATTATGGAAACTCTAATGGTTTACACTTGTTGAGAAGCAAGATGTTGAGTAACTTTTTCATTGATTTCCTGCTTACACAAGTTACTCTGATCAATCAATAAATATCTTATGTGCAAGATCAGTCAATATGCAGGCTATCTCTCCTTCCAAGAGCTCACATGCCCAGTCAGAGGTACTAACTCAGGTCTTATCTGAAGAAGATCTAAGAAACTCAATGAGAAGAAATTGCCACTATACTTGTATTTTAGTAAAACTGTTCGGATTGAAAATTAATTTGAAGGGTTAGTCAGCTTTCCAGGTATAAATATAGAGGAAGGTTCAGCCTGGTTGTTTCAGTAGTTACAATTTACACCAATAAGCATTCCTTTCTCTCGAATGTTCTCTCCTTTTGACACTCTTTTTGGTTTATTTGAAGCATTCAAGGCTAAACTACCCTATTTTTAGATGCACTCTGCTGCATTTAAAGTAGATTTTGGCGATCATGCCGATACTAGTTAGTTTAGCGTTATCTTTAATCATGATTCGAAAAAATTTGGTCTTGGAACTATTTTTAGTCGAATTTCGGATTTTTATTAGGCTGATATGATTTTCTAAGCCTTGGCTTAATTTCTATAAATAATAAAGACTATCTTAGAATCAAACAACTGTTTCTTTCAGTAACCCAACTAGGGATGGCTAGATTTAACAGACTTTGGGCTCTCTGATAAATATGGAGAATGAGCATTATTCTTTATTTTGAAGATCGAAAAGTTTCATTATAATTATCTATCTTTTAAAGAAGATTTCTGTTCCTTCACTATCGTTGTAATTTTTGCTTTACTAGAAAAGAGAGGTTTGGCAACCAAAGAATTAGAAGGGCTTAATAGTTACAAGAAAATTGTCTTAGCTTTCTTGGTCCGATTGAGAAATTCATACCTTCTTGGTTCATCAGTTTGGCCTTGAGTCTCCCTATTTGGAGAGGAGTATCTTTCAGCTATGTTTTAAGAGATAAATGAAATCTTGGCACTATTAATAAATAAAGCTATCAGTATCAAGTATGTTAGGAGCAAGGAATACAAACTTGAGGTTGGTCTGTAAAATATGTTTATAATTTTCATTCCGACAGATAAGTTTACAGATTCAATAGAGTTTTAGGCCTATGTTTGGAACAACTAGGAATATCATCGATTTTTGGCAGTTTTATTACTACCACGAAGACCCTCAAGGATCTTTTCAGAAGGTCAATTTGAGTATTTCTAGAATATGTGTGGTAAATAGTGATCTATCTTTGAGCTTATAATAACGGAAATCTAAAGATGAATATGGTTCAAACTCTTTGTCTCTATTGATCCTTTAGCTAGGCTTGTAGTAAGCCCCTTGTGTGTTTATATCATTCACTTACCCACCAATAGTTCTCCAAATCTTACATGCAAAATTCAATGAAGCAAAATGCTCAAAATGTCTTTAAATTTGGGGTGGTTCCTTAGATCTTGGCCTCTGAGGCCTCACTTCCATCTTCTACTTATGCCAGAGGGACCTCTGCTCTAAGAAAGGGATTATCTTCCAGCTACTGTGTCAGGCCTGTCTTTATTCCTAAATCTCTGGCTGATTATCTGTGCCGTTAAATTCCGGGTTTGGATTTCAATATTTGGTTGTAGCCTTGGGGTTTTGGGGTTTTGGGGTTTTGGGGTTTTGGGG